CGGAGGGGAGAGGTCTGAGTGGTTCAGAGAAATTTCGGGACTGAGTACTTACCCTATCCTATGCCCTCACTACTGGCTATTCCCCACTACTGCTCGCTAAGCCTATCGCTCCGTGCCTATCCTTACTTCTGTCGTGCTTGCACTACCGTCCTTCAACCTGATTTACGTAGCATAATCAAGACTTGGGCTTGACGGGGTTTCTCGACGGGGTTTCCTCGACGGGATTTCCTCGGCGGGATTTCCTCGGCGGGATTTCCTCGGCGGGATTTCCTCGGCGGGATTTCCTCGACGGGTTTTGGGGTCGACGGGGTTCGCATAGCCGGGCGTGCGAACCGGCTCGTCGAATCAGTCAGGATCTGCCTGATTCCGCAGCTGGTCTACGTGTCGCACGGTCCATCACCCCGTCAACCTCCCTGGCGATCTCGACGCGTCGTATTCCGTCCGCCTCGTCGGCTGACATCACTCTCGGTCACTCGTTCCCTATCTAGCAGAAAAAAGAAAAGTTGCCTTTTTAAGGGGTTTGGAGCAAAAATATTCGCGTTCATGATTGACATCCCAACAAGCAGCGACTTTAGAGTGGAGTTAGTATTACTAGTTGCAAGTTGACGCAGCGCACAAGTTCAAATGAAGCCGATGTACTCGAAAGTTCGAGTGCATTACCCACTACTCAAAAGTCCGCGAAATGACATGCGTTACTTCCGCTTTCTAAAAGGGCAGCCTAAGCTTTGCATCCTGCTTTGCACACGGGCTAGCAAACCACATCGCTTTGCGCACGGCTGACAAACCGCAGCGCTTCGCTCGGTTTGTGCGATTTGACTGATTCTACATGTACTGATAACTGGTCCCCATGATCTACTTATAAAAGCGCAAATTGTCTGGATCTACTTGTATTGTTTAATCGAGCGACCAAAGTGATTCGACGCTATCCTTTGCTAGCTCCCTCTTTAAGTTTGCCCTGCCTCTGAGATCGCGCTGATGGAATCTTGAAACTGAGGATACGACGACAGATATTGATGCGAACAATGATATGCTTTTGGTGAACAAGGCGCAATTTTAACGCATAACCCTACCCCTACCCCCTCTCATTTATTGGCTGGCTCTGCCTCTGCATAAGGTAACCGGTATGCACCATATAGATACTAAGGCAAATTGCCGGTTTAGTAGAATTTTCGATAGCAACTTTTAGCTAACCGCCCTGCTTGTAATATTGACCGCAAGGTACTGAGTGAGGTATGAAATTGTAGCTCAAGACTTCAGCAATCAGAGACGATACCAGCTAACTAAATCCATGCAATATTCAACACATTTAACGCAAGCTACTAAGCAATCTCGAATTCGAGGTTGTACCAGTTTAGTAGAGATTTTATCAGGGAGTTTGTATTGAAATACCAGCTGGTTGCTTCCTTGCGCCTTGAATAATTATATTATCAACCAATAATGGAAGCTATACGCGAAATACTGTTTGTTCATTGGTCAATATGACACTCTACTAAACCGCTCACTCTCTACTAAAGTGGCAACTTGCCTTATAACTATTTGAGTTCGATCCCGCTATATTTATGCATTTCGCAGAATATATTATCTTCTGTGCGGTTAATAAAATAACGCAACCTTTTTGAGTCCTTATTATAAGCTTTATGAAAAACAAACTTTTCAAAGTGTGAAAACATACGGTTTTCGCTAACGAAAAATCATTGTGATTGGGTAATGACTTCAACTTTAACTGATTGTAAGATATTCCTTATCATCCGACTTATATCTTCGCCAAAACTTAAGCTCACTTCTGCTCACGTCGCTCACGAATCATTCTCTCTGCTTCTCCAGGTGCAACCCCGGGTTAATCCTTGACGCGATGCTCTGTGCTGGAGCGTTTCAAGGGTAAGATCAGTCTCTGATCAAATGTCGATTATTAAAAGATCAACGTAAGCTGCGAGTTGTGTCCAAAACCCACAAATCACTTGAACCTCCTGGAGCAACCGCAGCAAAAACACAAATCGACACTAATGATTTGCAGGCGGCTTGGTGGTCAGACCCATCTGGTATTAGTGTCCGTAGAAATAGGAGCGAACATTGGCTGCCTCCGTCCTTGTCTGTGTCGCGATCTTCGTCAGTATCATCGGTGCAGTCATTCATAACACCTTCTGCGCTATCCCTTGTGAACGCAGCAGCGGGATTGTCCATCTCAGTGGTTGCAGTCGGCAGTTTAATGTTTAGCTTCGAGCGGCCATGTACCGCAGCGGGAAGTGTAACACCGCTTCTTCGGAAATCGGACCCACTGCAGTTCTTATCGTTGACACCGTCTCACCGATCAAAGGCCACGATCCAAGTAGAGCAAGCAAGCTATTAGGATGCAGCTTAGTAGGCAACGCGAACGTCCAACACAGCCGAATAACAAATAATACCCCGCTCATGGATGCCCAAATCGTCAGATACACTATCATTGTGCTAAATAGCTCTTCTTCAAGCTCGCGGTCGCAGCGATACACGTCGTCTGAGCGATCCATAGCCACAACTTACTCCACCGGCGATTTACTAGCAATCTATGTTTGTGTAAAGTAAGAGTGTTTTTGTGCGTGGCTTTCACTACGTCGGACTACTTGCTAGACACTCCATGGGCAGAGATGCAATCCATAGCTGGGGGCAATCCAATGCGTGGGAAGCACAGCGATACAATTCGAAGTATGGTATGAGCGTACATGAAAAAAGCGTGGTAAATGGCTTTCGTGTTGCCGTGTTCGTCGTCGGCCACGGCTTAAAGGTTGCTCCCTCCTCTTGTAGTTGTTGCCGTTCCTACCTTCTTTTGGTGCGGACAGCATCAACTGCAAAACTACTGGGATTGATATGATGCATGTTCTGTTATAATTCGTACAGTGAGGATTACTATGTTTGATTTTTTCACAGGAGGTAAGGAAGCAGTCAGTTGGCGGATGCAAGCTGTTCATTCTTGATAGGTTAGGTAAGATTTACAAGATCGCGTCGGTGCGGTACGCGTTGCAGCAAGAATACTGCACGCAGATCGAGCTGGCGTCTCCTGGTATTTGCCTACCCATGAAGGTCTTCGCGATGAAGGCGGTCAAGAACCATGTCAGATACTGATTTGAAGTTTAATGACGCTGGTACTTTTATTCAATTATGGTGTGCTGGGTTTTTATAGAACGGGTACATGTGTTATCATCTTGAACAGTCGGTTGGATCCCGACCAGTCATCGCGAACGTTTCGGGATCCCGACGTGTCGTCTAGCGATGCGCCACTCGTATACAACACGTAATTTCCTATTTTGTTGGAGCTCTCCAAGCACGCTTCATTTCTTCTCAACCACCAAGACTGGCGAATTTGCGGGGCAATGGACTCCATGAATAAATCAATGTTGTTCAGTGCCTTGCTCGCAATCGAAGTCGATGCCTTCAGCGCAACGCAAGGCAGTCCTAACGCGCCTCATCTGTGTGTCATCTAAACAAAGCTTGAAATTGAACTTGAAAGTGCTGTTGAACTCACGAACTTGTCGTGCGGTGTGTACTCGTAAACCTGCAGGGTATGATATCCTCTTACCGTTAAGCTTTATCACCTTTGAAGAATGTCTTCATGCTGCACTGTTTGCTCATTGCTTCGTAGCGTCCGCGATTGATGGTCAACGTGTCGTTTGTGTAAACGGCAGTTACCACGTACGGGCCTTCGGTTAGTTGGGCGGGCTTCGGCAGGTTCCTAATGTCCTTCACGACGAGTACCTTGGATGCGACGCGATACTCGAGCACGTGTCGAGCCCTGTTCTCGTGCTCATTATTGCGGGTGTTTGCCATTCCCTGCGTGAGTATGTCGTAGCGGGGTTAGCGGTGAAGAGCATGTCAGTGATCATGTCTCGCTGAACCACGACCTCGACACGAGATGAGTCGGAAAAGCGTTGAGGGTCATGTGCATAGCAGCCCGAATTGCGAAGGCTACACTTGGCAGAATTTGGGGCCATTGCTGCTGGTCGAGCTGGGTAGTGCGAGTCATGCTCCCCACGATTTGATGTACACGCCCCAGCACCGCATTTGCCTGCGGTTTATCGCCGCGGTGGGCTGTGACTGTAGTCCGTAGGACCCCTGCATCACCTGAAATTATTTTCCGGCGAACTCCTTCGCTTGATTATGAATCACTCTCCATGACCGTGGGTACCTGCAGAACCAACACTCGTCGAGGGCGAGCGATGCCGCTTTTGCACCTTGGTCCTTGACTGGGGCAATTTCGATCCAATTGGTGGTGAGCTCAATTATGGCCCGGGCGTACAACTTGGGCGCTTAGCTCGTCCGAGTAGGAGTAAGGGCCGATCTCGTCCACGGCGATATTGGACCACTCCTCTTGTCCATGGCACTTCTCTGGCAGGAGTCTGTATTGTTTTGGGGGCAGCTTCAACATTTGACACGTGGGGCACATGCAGACGTAGCCCTCGGCAGCCCAACGCATTCCTCACCGATACACTGACTTCGATAACGTGAGAAAGCTATGATCCATGCCTGGGAGCAGGAGCGCCGCGTGGTAGAAGTCCAATACTGCAGCGCGTAGCGGAGATGGAATGATAACTTGGCCAGACTTGGATAGCATTACATTATGCACACAAAACGGCTTGTTTGGAACTTCCGCGGATACTGCACAGCTGCCACTTGCAAGGTTTCGTCGTCGCTGTCTGACTGTAAAATGGTGAGTGCATCACTTCCTTCAGCACGTTGCACTCAGTGCCATCGTTTTCATCTTGTGCCAGTCAAGACAGCGCATCAGTTACCGCGTTGCCAGCGCCTTTGATGCACTTGATTGTGAGGGCGAACTCTTCAATGATGAAGCGCCAACGCATGACCAGCGGAGAAGTCCGTACAGAACCGGTTCTTGTGGTCGGTGTGAACTGTAATCCTTTGGCCAAGGAGCATCGTGCGAAACTCCTTCAGTGTATCCATGATACTGAGTAGGTCCTGGTCCATCTCTATGTAGTTCTTCTGAGCTGACGCGAGTTTGCGGCTGTAAAATGTTAGCGGTTTGCCCACCTGCGACACTGTTTCCACCAAGCGAATAGTTCGATCCATCGTAAAGATCTCGAACGGCTGTCGTAGTCAGGATATGGAAACAACGTGGAGCGATGTCTAGATACTTTCAGCTTGCCGAAGGTGGCTTTGTGCTCAGCCGCCCAGGTCCAGAGAACGCGTTTCGACGTGAGACGAGTCTATGGAGCCATGAGATGGGCACGTTGGGGCCACACATCAAGGCAGTAGTTCACCAGTCCACTGAACTGGCGGAGCTCTGTATAGCTCGCCAGACCCCTCTACCGCTAGATAGCAGCGACCTTCCCAGCCTATGGCGCAATTCCTTCGGTCGTAAGGCGGTACCCAAGAATGTTAGCCTCCTTTGCAACCAACTTACCGTTCAATACGTTGATAGTGAGTCTAGCGTCCTTGAGACGTTGCAGCACGACTTCCAGCCGTTGGGTATGACGACCTCATCCCGGTAGCAGCGAACTAATGGGAAATTTTTAAGTAAGCGGGTGATGCGTGCTTGGAAGTGATCCGTGGCGGCTGAAAGTTTCATGGAAAGCCGTAACCAGCGGTACTTCTCAAACGGCAGTATAAAGGCTGTCAGCAGCGAGGCCCGATACGTGATATGAATTACGTAGTAGCCCATATTCTGGCCCAACACTGTCACAAAGACAAATCGCGGAATACTGATAAACACCTTGTTGATTTTGGGCATGGATCAGGGGTGGTCAACCCGTTGCTTGCTGAGACGGCACGAGTTGAAAACCCAAGCGAACGGTCTGGTTGGCCTTGGACAGAACAAATAATGCCGAAGCCCTCGGGCTGCTCACGTCGCGAGTAATCTCGCGCAGAGTTGTAATTAGCGTTAAGAGGTGGCGCATCGTCGCGTGGTGCTCGGTGACAGTGACGTCCCGTGTCTTTGCAAATCAGGTCGATGGGATGGACTCGTGCGTCTTGCAGCGCGCCATTTGCTTCAAGACGATATTGAAGTTCTGGGGTGTAGCTCCCTTACCATTAGCAGCAGCGGCGCTGAGGAAGTCGAGATATCACGCAATACGAGGCGTGCGTTCAGGAGCCCCGTATGACCTCCCTGGACCAGCCCATGAGACGAATAATTCTCTCGAAGGTCTTGAGACAGGTTAGCCACTCCTCCACCGTGTCTCGAAAGCTGAAGGTCTTGATCAAAACCTTCATAGGATCCACAGTGTTGTCGTCGTTGCCGATCGGGTCTTAGTAGGTTAGCGTGACAGCGCCGGACTGAGATGGTCAACCATGGAGGTTTGGAAACCGGATGAACCGCTACTTGAGGGATAAACCTTAGCCAATCAGCGACCGGAACGGCAAAACCTGTCAGACGAATGTTGAACGATACATGTCATTAGTTCAGATTAGTAACATATATTTAAAAAAGTCTAGCCACCAGTTCCCAATAGCTCGCGTAAAGCCAAAGAGGCGACCGCGTGGCGCAGGCGTCGGCCGCCAAGTCCAGCAGTACAAGCTGAACGCCAAGTCTGTTGAGAAGAAGATTGCTGTCCTCGATTTAGATGCTACGGCGAAGAAGATGTGATTGACGGTTAAGCACTCCTACCCAACGCTTGCCCCTGAGTGCTACCAGAGAAAGTGCACCCAAATCTAGCGCTAGAGTAAAGAGAGACTGAAGTTCGAAGCTGCTGTCAGCGGGCACAAGGGAGCCCACGAAAAGCTACCACAGGTAGGCGTTGTCACTATTTTATGGAAGGCGCTGGAGGAGATTGTGGTGTGCGTGAACGATTTGAGGGAAGATGCGGTTCCTGTCTCGCCTAGCATGCTGGAGGTGAAAGCGCGTGAGGTGGCAAAGGCCGCTGGCATTAAAGACTTCAAAGCCTCCGACAAGTGGGTCCTTGGCTTCAAGCGCCGTCATGGCTACAGTCTGCGCGTACCTACTCGCCAAGTACATGTGTATCCTCCCTACTTAGCGGTTTATTGCAGCTGAGTTCTCGTATTCGCTGTATACTTGTTTCTATCGCTGTCGCCTAAAAGCATCAATGTTACGCGCTCATTCGAAGCACCGCTGCAGCGAACCCACACCGTTTGCTCGCCCTTTTTCGATATAATTTTCTCGGCTACGTACTCGAAAAACGCGGCTTGAAAATGGACTATATTTGGTTAAATAGTAATTAAATAGCATTTACAACTGTTACCGGTCTGGTCAGCGTTATAAACGTGTGTAATACTCAGGACTTCGTAGTTATGAAAGCGAGGCCATCCACTGTTGAGAAGTCTCAAGAAAAGAATTTGCAGGACAGAAACGGATTTACGGTCCATATTTGGCAAGACGTCTGCCCCATTATGACCTTGCCGTCCTCGGCAACAAAAACAAGTAACGTGGAAGGGGTTTTATTGTATAAAATAATTTGTTAATTTAATTATAACTGTATTGTGGTTTTTGTAGGGTAGTGGAATCAAGAATTTTCCGGTGAATTTCTTCGACGCCACTTTGGTCACCGCCCAGGACCCTTTGAGTCCATCCTACTTCTGTGGGATGATTTCAATGGGCACCAGACGGAACAAGTGCGGCGGTACGCGACCACGATCAAGGTACTGCTACTGGGGATGCCTTCAAAGGCAACGTCGGTTTACCAACCGGCTGACATCGCCTAGAATTTCCCGTTCAAGGCAATTTTGCGACGGCTGTAGTACGCGGACATGAAGTCCGAGATCATGCAGCCCCATATCCCGGGCACCATAGTAGTTCGAGCAAAGCATCTTAGCAGACCAGCCAGTCGTCTGTGACTTCGGCTTCGGCCAGCGCTGGTCTAGTAGTGTAGGTTGTCCCGATGAATCGGTGGTGTCATCTCTGAAGGATCCTGCACCGCAGGAGCGTATTTGCTTGCGTCACGTGGTTGTCGGCTATATCTGGAGGGCTTGCACTTGATTCATGCTGTGTCCAAGCTCGACTTGCCGCTGCCAATGGGTTATCAGTCACGATACGCAGTGCCAATGCACATTCTCCTCATCGGGTATGCTCAACCACGTCGAAAGACGTGCGATGGCAAAGATTACCCCAATTGCTTGGTCCCTACACCGTGAGACAGATCCTATTGCATATCTCGTACCCTCGATTCCTATCCTTCCGCAGTTCGCAGCACCGGTCGCAGGCTTGCCCTGTATAGCGCAATACTCCCTGCCCAGAGCTGCCATCTACTTGACGGAGTATCGTACCTCTCGCAATTAATTAGGCAAGAGTAGATTAAAAAGTAAGTAGATTGATTGAGCAGTTAGAAAAATAGCTAGCCACATGTAGGCACTTTAAGGAGGCGGACTTGGCGTAGTAGCAATGTGGGTCTGAGAAGTTTTCAGATATTTTCACCTTTAGAAGCATTGATCTTATCTTTATGTTTTCGTTAATGATCAGACGAGTATGTCCTTATCTTCTTATACGCTCATTATAGTATCAGAATTTAAAAAAAAAGTATACAGGATGCGTATGGCTCGTCATCCTCGAAACGACATGTGGTTAAACTTATTCTGAGCTTATGATTAAAATCAGGTGTTTTCGCATCTTCATAAAACTGCCATGGTATTGATTTCATCTCATTCTAGTCTGAACTTCAGCTTATCACGAATACTCAGGCTGCTGGTACTAACATCATTTTATTTTCCCGCATTACTATACACCTAACATCCGATGGACATCATCGTACCGACTATAGACTTCGAATGATCGTATGATAAGCATCAGCAGGGATAAAACGCATCCATAACTGTTATGCGATTATGAATGTCCCTTGATAAGCCTAGCCCTAAACGCATACCCGCATTAAGTCCATCACTTGAGTATCTCACTTCCGAACTCACCATCGGATCCAAGCCCCGTGTCACCGTGTATTTAAATGAACAGTGTACACAGAGTAGGTAACCCACTTCAATGTATTACTCGTTTGGTTATCATGTATTCCTATGCCTAGTACTCTAGATCCCTCCTCAGGGCCTGCAGGCAAAAGAGGAAGTGAGCTCATCTTAAAACGGCGCCCTTGACTCCTCACACCTCGGTCTCGTGTCGTCATCGCACTATTCATGGTTGGCAGGCAGCTCTCTGCCTGAACTATCTAGCCCGCAGCTGGTGATCTTTCTCATACTTGCTAAATACCAATATTAACATGCTTGAGAGGTTTTACTTTCAGTTACAAGAGTACTCGACCCGCAGACAGGCGGAGCCTGCCGCCACTCTGCGATCGGGGCTCAATCCGCGAGCCTACCTTAATAACATCGAGAGCATGCCCATCAATCGCAAGATATACAAGGACAGCGTTCGAGCTGTGATCGGTCCCGTGTATAGCCTCTCGTATGGCACCACCCTAAAGATGGTTCTACATCACTCGTGATGAAGCTTAGCTACTAATGATATTGAGAACCATCGACTTGACAACTAAGCCTCTCGACGCGATAGTCAAGCAAATCATGAGTAGGGTGTCGTAGAGGTGACGTTCAAGATCAGCGACAAGCTCGAGTTTAAGGTCAGTCCCCATCCTGCAATCAATTTCGATAGTGGTTGACAATTTGTTAAGTCCTGCTCAGCGCATCCGATGTGATGATAAAATGACCACTATTTTTTTCAAAGGTTGAGGCCTGTATAAGCAACGTTAACCTACGTAAGTAAAGTAACGAGCTAGATATAAAATGACCACTATGTAACTCGTGGAGTCAATAATGGGTGCTAAATACCTTATGTACGTTGGTGTGAAGAGAATTGGGTACCATGCATATTATCTTTTTCGCTTTTCATATCAATCAATATATGATCTTGATCTGAATGCGATGTTATTTTTATGCTAATTCTAATAAAAAATGACATTTTATTATGATCTGAGTAAATTTCATCACAAAGCGTCTGTGAGGCTCGTTCTGATAGCTTAAAGCGGTTTAAGTGATATGAAGGTGTCTAGGTCATGTCGGTTTGTCTACTTCGATGTGTGCATGTTGGCTGGCAAATTGTAGAGTGTATTGGGGGACGGGGGATATTGAAAGCCGTGGTCGGAACAAATTAGTTGGTCCGTCTCCCACCCAAGATCCCCATATGTCTCCACACCACGCTTCATGTTAAGTGCATATTTCGTCTCAGTATAAATCACTAGAGTTCAATTATTATGCAGTGTATGCAACAGCCGCAAGGTCTCACAATCCGCAAAACTCCTTCTTGGATAATTATTTGTAGTATAACTTGTTGTTCAGGGTTAATTCGAGTAAATCCCCGCATGAAGCTGTTGTTGGAGTGTTGGCGACCTAGTGCCCTTGGTGTGAAAGGTGAGGGGTAGCCAACTTGCAATTTTATATGAAAGATCAAGGAGTCGGGCTCAGAAGGGCGCTTAGGTTCCGCATTGCAAACTTTACATACGTCCTAGTGATTCCTGAGAGCAATAGTAAGACGGTAATCCAACGCTCGTGAAGTTCATGCGAAATACATCCTTCGTCACAAAATAACCAGAGTGGTGACAGCGATGTCACCATTAAACTATTCCGACAGCATGCCAAACACTAGACCCCAGTTCTTCGTCCGGCACGGACTATATTGGTCGTTCACTAGTCGCTTTACATCTGACATGCTCAATGCCGAATCATCGAAAGCAACACTACCGGCAAATATGAGTAACCGTGTCTCCCACACACTCGGATTCAACGGCATCACGGAACGGGACATCGGCGGCCATCTTTGTTCGATCACCTTGTATCCTTGATTGATAACGTTGATCTATTCGTTTTGCCTCTTCTTTTGTTCATCAGCTTGAAAATCAACGCATGCGGCCACGTGCTTTCCAGTGCTATGATATCTTTTCTTTACGATGGATGAGTGATTTCTTGAGCTACGCCTCCTAGCCGTGACATATCTCAAGGAACGGCGCCAGTTCGGTCTTTTGCGACACATTCAACAGGGAAAACGCACAGCACGCTATTATTGCTTCTTATATTCATACCTTGTCATACCATCAAGCATGGAATAGTTACAACCGGTTGCTCGTAAGTCGACCACGTTAACTGACTGACCGACGCGACGGAGACTTGAAGGTGAGAGGGCGCGTTTTCAGTGACATATGCATGGTGACTACCCAGTAGCCAAATGGTGGCTTTCGGGTGGTGTCGCGGCAGAGGATACGGTAGATAGGATATGGCGGTCCTGGACATGGCACTCCCGACTGAATCAACGGGAGACTCTTTCGCGGTTTTCAATGTCTAACACTGTAAGCTGCGAGAGCGTTTGTGGTGCAAGCCCCAGAGTATTACACAGTAGCGTACTACGTGCTAGCGCTCAATGGCGTGTGCGGTGGGCAATTGCAGCTAACTGTAGGCATTGTGGCAAAAGCTAGACAAAATCTCAAACCCTGCAACTCTTGTTGACCAGCATTTTTCTGCTCCTCCTCTGCTGACAGCACAACCGTGAGCAGCATCCTCAACCCACCTCAAGCTATTCCTTTTATAACAATGAGCACCACAGCTCTGACGTCAGCAAAGATTCACGGAGGCTATGGCTCGGCAGCACAATACGTCCTCTTCTGGGTCTAAACAGAATCAAGACCTGAATGAGTGGACATAGGGCGAAAAGGAAATCATTCAATGTCACCTGAACAACAGAAGAGATCTTGCCGTGACCTATAATCAACTGCCGCGTCGAACGGAGGCTAACGTACATAAGAAGATACGACTGACGAAGTAGAAACCAAAACACCCCGGCTCTACAAATAAGCTTAAGTCCCCGCTGCCTCCCCAGAAGCAAGTGGAACCAACTCCATTATCTGCACCGTCTAGTGGGCCCGAGCAATAGTTCTCTGGCTCCGCCGACGTGTACTGCGAGCAGCACGATGCGAACGATGGTGCTGATGAGCACGGCGACACTGTGGCCTGGTCGTGACTAGCAAGTGAACACGGACGGCCTTGCCTACCTGGCGCTCAGTGACCCCGGTCCGAGACTAGCCGCGGGGCGCTACCGATTCTGCTTACCAACAACCCTTGGCTACTGAGCATCACGTCCGTGTTGGTAAGCGGCAAACCATGTATGCAGACGTTGCCCCCAGCCCCACCGATGTGTGATGTGAGCAGCTCGCCAGTACCAACACGAATCGCTCACGGATCTTAGGCATAGTGAAAATGTTTTGGTTGGTCCCCAGCGCAGGCATCCAAACTGTGGTATCGCTCACGGTCCATCCGTATATGCTTATAATCACTACGGGCATGCATGCGGGTACATCACTTATCTCGAAGACGAAGAAGAAGATGGCCAAGGAAGGCACTGCGCGGCGAAACGAGCCGCGCACGCGGGAACGCTGCAACCAACAAGACCAGTAAATGCTGCAGCAAGCTCTGCATCAAGGTGCTTCATGGTTTCATCCGCCACTGCAGCAGTACCAAGTGACTCCCTGGTATCCGCCGCCAACACAGCAGTACCCATTTAACCCGTGGTTCTCTGTACCGCAGCCGTACCAAAGTACTCTGTGGTTCCCCTCGCCACCGCAGTCATACCCAGGTACTCCGTGGTTCCCTCCACAACCGCCATTAGCAATAGTCCCAATCTAGCCATCGAGCTGTGACACTGCCTACGCACAGTATTGTTTATTTTGGTAACATGTTTTACACCTAGATTGTGGGCCCAATCATGTCCACTGCTCCGA